CCCGAATGGCGCCACTGCGTAGAGCCCGAGAGTCACCTCAAGTCAGAATGCACGAGCTGTTGCCAAGGGGCGGGGCATAGATGGCATAGATGTGACGTGCGATTGTGTAGCGGCCAGCTGCTCCAAATGATCGATGAAACGGTCGCTGGATCATCGTAAACACAGGGCACGTAGATGATTGTGGGATCCGTGGAGCTGAAAGCCGGAGCAGTCACATACATACAGCTCTGGTGATTTCAGAGACAATTTGAAATTCAGGAAATGTGTTACTGCAACTACAACCTTCTAATCCAAGGAGCCAGGAAGTCCTGGGATCGCCTTGACGACCAAAAGAACGGATGTGCCAAAACCTTAGAATTCAGAGAGCAAGCTGCCTACGTGAAGAGGGACCACCCTGCAACCCGTCGCAGCAGGGCGTTAAACAGAGGCACGACCCACTGGAGCTAAACGGGAACTGGGTAGAATCTCAGGAGACAGACGGAGAGGGGGAGAGGGAGAGGGAGGCAGTGGGAAGGAAGCCTACTAGTCAGTGGTCATGTGCCAGAGCCCGTGTCAAAGAATCCCAAAATCTACATGCTCTCCCTGCGGGAAGGGGTGTGTTCTTGCTGAAGCGAGCGGTAGCATTTAGCCGTTCTGTTTTGTGATGAGGCTACGGCCTCTACGGCCTCACGCAAATCGAGCGAAACCAACAGCTCTGGGCTGCAGACCAAGCAATGCGGCGTTGTGCTTGGAGGCAGCTTCTCGTTGTAGGCCCGCTTGTTGGGATCCTCCAACGACTTTTCAGCCCTAGTGCCAGTGTGCCCTACAAACTTCAGCTTGGGCATCTGTGTGACTTATCTGCTAGCCGTGTCACAAAGTCGCAACCGTTACGTCATTGAGTAAGCGAAGGGCTGCCCAATACCAAAACCAGATCAGCAACCCGGCAGGCAGCATCTGAGCATGCTGGCCGGCATAAGCAAGTCGGGATGCCGTCTCTAATGCATGGAGGCCTTCAAAGGTGTTCAGCGCTTGATAAAGGGCCCGAGCACAGCACACAACTGTGTTGAAGTGTTGTCAATGCTGAATTGTTGGCATGGTTTCTGGCCATACGCTTGAAGGGGATACTTTGCCATGGAACTCTCAGCCCACTGCCGACACACACACTGACAAAGCTGGTGAAATCTTGGCATGTTGACAACCCGCTACTTTCCGGCCAAGCCCAGAATGACGAAATTGCGGCTTGTAGCTGCTCGGAGCCAGCCCAATGCTCTCGCACTCCTCGACCAGCAGTGCGCTGACCAAGGAAGTGAACGCAGTTCGGTGGTGCCGAGGCCATGAATCTGGAAGGGCCTTGCAGCATCGAGCTAAACATGATATCAGCGATCCAACTAATCATGTTTGCTACCGTGGTTGCAATGACATAACTTACAATTGAGATCATTGATCATGCTTCTGAACTACAGAATGAGCCTAGCAGACCCTAGCAGCTGAAGAATCCAAACCTTTGAGCTTGTACCTATGTCTCTCTCCATTCGTACTTGCTCGAAATCTGGAGGTGTTTTGCATCGAAACATCAGGGAAGGAAGTGCTTCAAAACCCAGACGTAACAAAAGTATTGCTTGGGACTCCTCAGATCTCCTCAGCATACTCTTCAGCTCATAAGACCAGCTCCGTGACCCAGGCAGGCAATCCACCATCCAGTTCTAGGCCAAGAACCTCACGCTACTGCAATCAAACTGGCAAAGGATCACCTTTCGGCCCACCTGCTCCAGCAGCTCTAGGCTGCAGTGTGCGGCCTGTGGATCCGCCTGGACACAGCATCTCGAAATCTCAGGAACTAATCCTGACCTATTCAATTCATTATTAGATCGTGATGCACAGTCGACAATTGGGGCGCAAGTTGCACTTTATGCGTAAACTTTCCGTGGAGGCGACTCCCACGAAAAACCCTCCCCACCACAACCCGGCCACCTTCTGCCAGGATCCTCAATAACTTTTCGTAAAGGTGCTACGGTGGATTGAGGAAATCTTGCGCCACCTGGGATCTGCAATGCATTGCACTTCGTAGGTTTTAGGGTATGTGGAGTGGCGCAAGATTTCTTCCATCCACAGTATGCCACCACTAAAGCCACCAGGCCATTGCTTCAACACATATTGATTGATTACAGTTCTCATCTTTGCTGAACACTCCAAGCGCTGACTGAATCGTCTTCAAGGCCCAGCGTCTGTCAGCATGCATAACATGATCCTGCCCAGCGAATAGAGGTCGCTTGTCCTTGCTGCTGGTGACAGGCATCGATAACAGGGGAAGGTCATCATGCATTGGGTTTGCGCCGTCAAAATTTGAACAAGGCCAAAAATATCAGAAACCTCTTGCATGTGCAAACGAGCCGTTGCTATGCTGAAGGTTCCCTTCGACGGGCATGTCAATAAAGCACCGTCTTCACGATTGTTGGAGTGGCTTTCCAAGCACAGCCCCAATAATTACGATCCAGTTTTTTTCGTATGCTGCTGCGGCACACATGCTCAGAAACACCACATGCCCCAACAGCCCTTGAGCGGTGTAGCTGCAGCGTCAAAAAACTTCTCCCAACTCTGCTAATAGCGTCCATGATCTCCAACAGCTGTCACAAAGCTAACAATGCTGGTAGTAATGATGTGTGTGGCTCATATCCGAAGCACGCAGAAGCCCACTGAATTTCAATCCTACAGAAGCATAAAAACAGCATGAAAATCCTTTTAAGTGACTACAAGCCATAGTGGATCTACGTAACACAGAAGAATGTATCAGTACCAGAATTGCTTTGGATTTCAGGATGAATACGACCCAGCAGTTCGCCAATAGCATGTTACCTGTCTGTGTGCATGGATCGGGGGTCCCTGCACTGCAAAGACCTGAAGCACACAGCTCTTGGAGCGACTACAACAGAAGCAGGCCGTCCAAATCTTCCACCACGCGGCCGATGAGCATCCCGGCGCCCGTCTAGTGCTTCCGGCGGGGCAAAACCATGCCTGGGGAATGACTTGGATCCCTCCTGATATTTTAGAATCACTTCATACGTGAGATTGTCTCCACATCGTTAGAAACTCCTCAGCAACAATGATCCTTGTTGCGGCCATGCTAGCCTAAGCTTGGTCAAGGGATGTTGGAACCGCAGTGTTGAAACAAAGCCATGTGGCTCCGGCACCCTGCCACGCAATGTCGCACCACTGAAGTGGCCCAACCGGATATTGCCAAGATGATCTATCAACACATTGTCAGGATTAACCTTGGCTGCTTGGATGTTTGCGAGTCGGTGCTCATGCGCACTGCATCAGTTTGGCAAACTGACACGTCCGTTACATCAGATGAGAGCTTCAGACAGAAGAAAATCACATTGCCAATGCAGAACGCAGCCCTCTGGTTTTCACCAGAATACTATGTCCAGTGGCAGAAATACTCAGAAATACTCAGAGACAAGTAAGTCCCTGAAGGCAGGGCCCAACAGATCCTGCAGATAAGCTACAGGCAGAGACAGGGTGCAACAACAGCCAAAGGGCAAGTCAAGCCGTACAGTGGATTGACCCGCAAAGACTAGATGCAGCCAACACACCACTCAGCACAATGCACCAAACAGGGAACGAATATTCAGACCAGGCGGGTAGGCCTGAATAACAGGCAGAGAGGAAAGGGCGCAAGCCTGACTAAGCTTGTTAGCCACATCATTCAGAACGTCAGGAATGTGGTTAATGTGGGCGGAAACACGGCGGCAGAACACGGCAGTCCTCCTGAAAATGCAGAAAGCAGCGCAGAGGTGGCAGAAGCCTTTGGCCGTAGACAGGCCCTTCCAGGATGCAGATTCTACAACAGCATTGTCGCAGGACAAATGCATGTGCACAAGCGGATGGTTGGGCAGAAGCAGGGAACGGACTACCCAAACCAAAGCAAGCTGAGCCAGAAATTTCCGGCAGCCAATGAAGCGCTGGGGAACAGCTGTCGGCTTGGCCGCCGGGGAAGCGAACGACACGGTCGTCACACGCGTCAGCACAGGCATCACACCGTAGTATAGAGGACTGACGAGTACGTAGCGTGCAAGAGATGGTGCAGTCAGGACGTCCAGCCACAGGCGGATGACTTCCTGTGACACGGGGGAAACAGGGCGGTCGTGAGACCAGGGAAGTCCAGCCTTGGTCCAGACGCGGCGAGAGGCAATAGGCTGAGCAGGCAGGTCGGCCTTAGCGCAGACGGAGAAATTAGCAACTGACACCAGGAAGCTCAACTGGCTGTCCGCTTTGGTAAGGGCTTCTCGCCCCAGTCTGACTCCGTGCTATGCTGACGAGTCCTCCAGTGTGCCTGTCCACTTCGCTCTGACCCCTGAGCAGTGGCACCTTTGCCGCTCGGTGGACGATGCTCTCATCATCCCTTCTGACTTTGGCATCCCTTCCTTACCTGTCGGCTGAGCTTTTCAAGCGTGACAAAGGGACAGGTTTCGATGCTGCGAAGAGACTTGAGGAGGAGAATCAGGCGAGCCTTTTTACCATCCTCCATGTCAGCAGTGTCTGTCTGTGTACTGTAGCCTCAATGGTACTTACATTGGGCTGTGAGAGGAAAAAACCCCGAACATCTGAACTTTTGTCAGGAAAGGGGAGGCTGCAAGCCGTCCAGGTAGGGACTCAGGGGAAGGCCCCCAGCGTCTCCTTGCCTGGGAACGCAGTGTCTGGACAGGAGTGGCAGACAGGGATGCCTTGCGCCAGCTCATGGGCACGCGCAAAACGCACAGCAACACAATCAACAGAGTCGCCAGGACAGGGTTGGTACCAGCAGAGAGCAGACAGATCCTAGCTGCGTTCCCTTTCCCCCAGCACTCAAAATTTGCCCCCCCTTTGAGGGGGTCTAGCATCCAAAATGGCCACGATATCATCATGCCATTTATCATGAATGCCAAACCATGCTCATGAAATACTCCATGAAATATCATCAACATGATAACGCAAAAGACCTTCGATCCTTTTGCAGAAAACAGGATTTTTGCTAGCACACATTATCGTAACTCGTTCCTCGTCACGAACACGTCTTCAACTCTTGTAACTGCTGGGCGTACTGCCTCCAAGTAGGCTTCATTCAAATCGCTTGCTGTTTTTTCTCTTGCAGCTTCCAAATCGCCCTCTTCCGTTGCTGGCACACTCTCTAAAATAGGCCCGTCCGGATTGGCTGACTCCGGCTCCTTTTCCTCTTCGGAACTTGTTGCCGAGGATGCTGAACTATCCTCCTCTTCTTCTTTCTCTTCACCCTCATTTGAGGATCCGTCCGGATTGGCTGAGTCCGTTTCCTTTTCCTTCTCGGCCTCTCTCTTTTTGTCTTCCTCAAATCTAGCAGTCTCTGCTCTAAGACTCTAAGAGCTGCTGCTCGACCTTCCTTGGCCGACATTGCAAGCTCTCTTAATTCTGCGGCCCTCTTGGCCATCGTTTCTGGCCCCTTTTCAGTGGGCTCAGGTTCATCCGCTGGAGGATGGTAGGCGGGTGCGGCAGGTGCAGCCTGCTCCTCCTGAACACTCTTAGCTTCTTTGCTCATAGCTTCTTTTTCTTCCTTGCTAAAGTTTTCCTTCTTCAAGGCTTTCAAAGCTCTTTTCTTCTTCCCAAGTCCCGGCGCTTGGGCAAAAACGGCTGCGGTCAGATACATGCTCACATGACAATGCAAATCAGTACTAACAAGCAAACTCCAAAGTTGCAAGACGTATTAATTTCAAAGTCTAGACTTTTCGCAGCAACTTTTGTTCCTCCTACGCTGATTCCTTCACTCATCAAAATTGCAACGATCTCTGCAATCATGCTCACACTAATGGTTTTCATACCTGTTTTCGTTCTTCGCACTTGATTGTCTGGTTCATCAACAAAACCACCTCTATAGCCTAGCGCTTTCAAATATTTCTTGATATTGTCTCGCGACAACGCTTCGGTGCCTAAGTCTGCAGGGTAGTCTACCCCCTTTATCGCCTTCACCAAAACATGCTTCATTTTCTGAATCCAAAGTAACGAGACATCTAAATGTCTGGCTCTTCCTAGGCCTTTTCTCGAAATCAACTGTCTTGACGAACTCGAATCGATGCACAATCGAACTTCTGGCGCAATTCCTGTGATTCGCTCGATCAACTTCTGCAGAAATACTCCTTCGCTCATAATGCTTACCGCTGCTATAGTTTCGCTTTCACAGCTCGAAAGTGACACACTCCTTTGACATTTTGACTGAAAGTGTACCATGTTACCGTTCACAAATATGGCTCCACAAGACACACTCTGGCGGGTGTCTCTATCCGCCGCCCAATCTGAATCTGAGCATATCTCTATCAAACTCTTTTGCGTGTAAACAATATGGTTCTTTGGCGGTTCATATCCACCGATCCTCCTATCTTGGAAACTACATCCTGGATACGATGTTTTGTGTAACAAATGGATGTCAGGGCATCCCTTCAGATACTTTCCAACGAATCGAAGTAGTTCCAAGTCGCCCTGTGCGGGGCTCGCCAGTTTCATGCTCAACTTCTTCAACGCAAACATCAAATCTGGCCGTTCCGGCGCCAAATACAGCAAAATTCCAACTCCTTTTCGGTACAAGCGGCCGTCCTCCGGCGTCGACGGAGTTTCTGCTCCTTTCTGGTTGTTGATTGCTCTTCCACCATCTGCAGGGATAGGAAGTTTCTTTTCAAATGCCTTTTCCAACTGAAGTACTTCCTCCAAAGATTCCACGTACTTTGCATTCATCGTAATCTCAACTCCTTCAGACGTAGCTGTAAAAGTTCTCTTCAGAAAACCAATGGATCCATGCTCTCTTTCCAATGGTCCTTCAACTTTCACTTTCAAACCTTCTGCTTTTAGTTTCTTCACAAGATCTTCAGAACCTCTTTTCGTTGCAAAAACTTCCAAGTCGTCAACATGGGAAAGTACGATGACTCCCGGTTCTCCATCTTTTGGCAATCGATAGAACAAAGCTGGCAAACCATCATCTGACTTCAAACGATACTTCTCAACGATTCCTTGAAGTTAGTTGAACCTAGCGCTTCATCCTGTGCGCTGGCCTGGCAGTGTGTATCCTAGCTCGTACCAACTGCCATCTACCTCCACAATGGTAGGTTCGTCTTGTTTTCACTTGGAGATAAGCATCACCTATATCTATGCTTCCAAGGCTGTAATGATCACTTGACAAAAGCCTCACTGTCGACGCTACTCCTGTTGGCGAAAACAACGCTGCAAGGTCGTAATCTGTCAACCAACGGAATTCTCGCGCCACGAGTCTTCCTCGTCGCTTCCATTGCCCGTCTCTGTGTCTCCAATCATACAATCTTCATAGAGGCGCTTATAGTTTGCATTCGTGGCTTGTTCTTCGCTTATCGGCTTCAGGTCCATCAATCGTTCAATCTCCAACTTCGGTGGTCCTTCCTCAAACTCATGCGACCACGTTGGCACTGCTTCATTTGTAGCTTCAAACTCATAGTCTTCAAATGCTTCTTCTTCATCGTCAATCTCTGCTTCAAGACCTTCAAACTCTTCGATGTCCACTTCTTCGTCGTCGTTGCATCGAAGCTCTTCTTTCTTCAGAAACTTTTCGACATCTTTGATGCTCTTCAAACTGCATACTCTTCGAATTCGTGCTCGAAACTCGCTCGAAGCGCTCGATTCGCTCATAGGATCATCATCGCTCAAAGTTCGTATCTTCGCGTTGGCACTCATATCTTCAGCTTCAGAATCCGTGAATCCTGGCTCAGGTAATTTTACCTTGTTGACCTTCGGAACTTTTGGCCTCTCTTGGAGGCGCCGCGCTTGATGGTGTGGCGCGGAAGAGGCCCTGCTCGTGGTCCTGGGTGAGTCTGAGGCGGAGGTAGGACAGGGCGACAGTCCTGTTGGGACATAACCACGGTCGTGTCCCCATTCCAGGTGTACTGGGTCATGTCATAGATCGGTGGGTCCGCCAAGAAGTTCTCCAGGGTGTAGCTGTCCGCGGCGGAGGCGAGGCTGAACTCTTTGCGGAAGAACTTGTCCGGGCGCTGAGGTCGAGTCTGAACGGAGGTTTGGCACCGTGGTTGTGGTGGACGGTGTCTTGGATGTTGTTGGGACTCCAGGTTTCGCGTTGGAAGTACGGCAGCGGTTGGCTCTTAGCTGCTGAATCCTTGATGGCCTCGACGAGGAACGCGTTGAAGTTGTCACGGCTGGAGACCTCTTGCTGGATGTTGAGGATGGCCGTCTTGAGCTTCCGCACTAGCACGTCTTCCTCGGCGCGCTCCCACTCCATGAGGTAGAGGATGTGTTGCTTTTGGTGCGCGGCGGCGCCGGTGGTGATGCGTTGATTCTTGATGACCTGCGCTCGGTGGCTGTGGCGGAGTCGGCGCCGTCCTTGACCGCCACTACGAGGGCCTTCTGCGCAGGGGCCAAACCGGGCTCCTGGACCCAGGGGCGATAATGCCACAGGCAAAGGGGGCAATAGTATTTGCCGCGCTGCGACTCGATGGTGGCATGTGGTGTGATCTTCCGCAGCCAGCGCCTGTTGTCCACCACCGCCTGACACCCAACTCGCCGACAAATATGGCGCTGATCAATGTTGGCGGTGATCTTGTGTGCCCAGTCCACCAGATTGTTGTCGGTGTATGCCCTCTCGAAGAATGAATGCTGATCCTAGTTGGGGTCAATCGCGGATTTGACGGTGTTCTCATCCCACTGCCTGTAGGCGGCCATCATCCTGGCAAGCTGCAGCTCGGAGGTGGCCAAGATGTCCGTGGTGAACTGGTCGATCATGTGGAGGACGCGGGCGCGGAGGATCTGTCTGACCTCTTCCTTTGTTGGCCTCGCGGCGTTCTTCCGCGATCTGCTTGGCGGCCTCGACCCAGTGGACGTTGCGGGGTCTGTACTTCTCGGCGCCCTCCTTGCGCTTGATGGCGCGGATCTTTCGGCATACGTTGTACCACGTGTTGATGTCGAGCTGCCTGGATGCTTTGGCGACAACATGGTGACGCACCCAGCGTAACTTGGAGTCGCTCCATAGAGCTTCGACGCGCAGGCGCTTCTGGTTGTCATCGACGGCGATGACCCAAGTCCGCGGTTGCTTGTCGATGTCGGCGTCAAGATTGGCGACCTCCTAGTGGCGGTGAAGGTGTTCATAATCGGAGCGAACTTCGCTGACCGCTGTGCCTGGCTGTCCGTGTAGAGCTGGTGATAATGACGGGCGTTCCGGGCGCAAATAGAGGTCGTCGTTCTCACCCGCTGCGCACTGATAGCAGCAGCGGTAATATTGGCGGCGCCAATCGGTGCTCCCTTGGGGCGTCCGTGATGTCCGACGGGGAGCGCCCGGTCAGCCTATCGATCCAAATTTGGACGAGTTGGTCCGCGGTGGTTTCGGGGTACTTGGCGCGTAGCGCTCTGATGGCGGTCAATCACTTGAAGGGCGAGGTCCTGGGCACGCATCATTTGGTTGGTGACCCGCTCTCTGACGACATTGGCGTCCACCGGCTGCTCTCTGTTGATGCCCTGGGATGATGACGCGGAGGCTGCCATATCTGAGATGGGGTACGAGGATCGGGCGCTAGACTAGGGGGTTGCAAGCTGTTCACAATGTTCGCAGCAGGCCCACTTACTACGGGGTCGGTCGACACATAACACGTCGCTGTTCGCAGTCATAATGCACATAACATGCTGCATGTGTGTTGGCGGTCTTCTTTGTTACAGCACATGTCTACAAAGCAGGATTGCATGTGTGGTATACTGTTGGCAACATGACTGCTTGCAATCTCACACAAAGGAAGGCTGTTTACTCACATCGTTCTGGCGGTGGTAGCGAGACATCACTTCATGTGTGCCCCAGGCCCCCCCTCACCTCGGTGGGAAGGGACCTGGGACACTTCTCTGATGTAAAAGCGAAAAGCATTAGATGTACAAGCTAAGGGAAAGGATTGTGGGGGGGAAACTGAAAAAGGTGTTCACGCGTAGAACAAAGAAGTGGTAGAGGAGCCGCAACCTATTGGCGCAGGTCGCTCCTCCAGCTATGCCGCTCGGAGCGGGGGTTCCTGCAGTCTTACAGTCTGAGCCGGGGCCACTCGTCTGCCAGAGGGGGCACAACCGGGGCCATGGAGTGAATACCCCTGAAAATTGTGGAACTTGAGCCAGCTACGGCTCTCCTCTTCTTCTTCTATAGGCTATGCGACACCCGAAGGTGTGCGGAGGCGAACCTCCAGCCCGCGGTCCGATATGTCTGGCAGGATGGTTTCCGCGTTCGCTGGACCCGGCAAACCCCTATATGCTCCCTTGTCCCCTATCCAGCGCGCTTTCACCCTTCCGGGAAAAAAGTCGGAGAACGAAGCCGAGGAGAGGTTGGCATATGGAGATTTCCCTTTCCCGCTCAATCATTTGAATCTCCATGTGCCCCTCGCTTCTCACTGCGTCAGCGGTAACGCCTACCTTTGTTTCACTACTTCCTCCTTTGCACAGCTTTACACATCTCCCTCTGTACCTTCCTTGCATCCGGAATTATGTCGTCTTCGACTTCAAATTTCCCGCTTCCACCTTAGGTAAGCCCCTACACCCTTTCACCATATCCCCTTCCAGGCTGGTATAGCGAATTTCGCACGGTCACGGTAATGGTCTCGGTGTGCCAGGTCCCCTCCTGAATTCACTTCTCTCCCTTTTCGCAAAATTCTCCCATGTCACGGTATTGTTCGTTGTCCCTATCAAGAAATCACGCGTTGTATCTTTGTTGTCCAGTCTGGTCACGGATTGAGAATGCTCTTCTCTTACCCTTTCCAGTTTACTCCCTGCACTGAGGTGTCTCTGGCGTCTGCTCCTGAAGCCCCATCTCTGCCATATCTGGTATACCCCATTCCATCAGTTGACTGTGAATACATTGCATTGTTGCACCGTCGCCAAGTTGCCCGTCCATATGTTGCATTTCCCTTGCCAGGCTGATGACATCCTTGTCTTGATCAGGATATTCCCTCTCCAGGCCTGTCTTCTTTCTGTGCTCTGCTGCATCCAAATCGTCAGATACGCAATCTGGTCCAGCCCTACTGTTCTTCTTCCTCCCCTTCCAGTTCTTCCGTAGTACTGCCATCTCCGATAGGGGGCTCATCTCGAGGGATCAGAGGCGTCAATGGTTGGCTTTGGCGGTTCTCCTCCTCATCATTTTCAGCTGTCGGACCATCTTGCTTCCCTTTTTCCATCTTGGTCTCAACTTTACCTTCCGGCACATTTGCCTCACTCCTTTCTGGAAGTTGTCTGCTTTGCTGGACGCACTTCTTTGCCGCATTCTCCCAGTTTTGCCACTCCAGTCATTGTTCCCGTCGCCGGTTTTCTTCCGTCCTCTGCCTCAAGAGCTCTTCTGAAACTCTCGCTGACTCTGGCGGTGGAACTCTGGCTTTCACTGGCGGTGGTTCTGGTACTCCGGATTTCGCTGGCGATTGTTGTGTAGTGCGCTCCGCAGGCTGGGTAGCTGTGAGTTGCCGCTTCCTTGGCCTCACTGCTCTTTCCTTTGCTTCTCCCAGTATCACCACCACCATGTCAGGGCTTCTTCCTCCGTCGGGCTCCCTGGAGATTCTTTTGGCTTCTTCTTGTTTCCCACTTTTTGCAGTGATGTCCCTCCTCTTGCCGTAGTCGAACTTGTCCTTGGTGACGTAGCTTCTTCCTTCTTCTCGGTCTTTTCCTTTTTCTTGTTGACTTGGTCTTGTCGAAGTGTCTCTCCTCTTGCCGTAGTCGAACTTGTCCTTGGTGACGTAGCTTCTTCCTTTTTCTCGGTCTTTTCCTTTTTCTTGTTGACTTGGTCTTGTCAAAGTTCTGCTGGAGATCGTTGTGCTTTTTGTTGCCCTAATTTCTCCAGTAATCTCTTTCGGCCTGCTTTCCCTCCTCTTGCAGCATGTTCCATCTCCAGCCTTGTGGCACCCTGGATGTACTTGAGGCAGCCTTCCCTGTAAGTGTGCGCCGTCTTAATTTTTCCTCCAGAGTTGCAGTACCAGCAAACTTCTTTTTCCCCTTGCACTGTAGCAACGGGAGGCCTCTCTGTTCCACGTCGTCTCTCGCGTGTTATAGTTTCACTGTCTTCACTCCTGTAGTTGCATCATCTCTTCCAGCTGTCGATGTGGAAACTCCTGTCCCATTGCTTGTTGTATCCATATGTCCGGCTCCCTCACTCTGAGGCGTGCGGCGATCAGCCATGGCTGTCGCTTATTTCTCCCAAAGCTTACTGTCTTCCCATCCCACAATCTCGACCCTGCAAAGTGCCTAGGAAGTTCAGTCCCAATTCGAATCAGCACCCTACTCAGAGAAAAGACTCCAATTCCCTACAAAGTCATACAGCACCGAGATTCCAGCTTTCCACGCAAAGGGGCCTATGGGTTCCACTTTCCCTCGGCAGCGTGAACTACGTCCAATTCCCTTTTGACAGCGTGACCCCTCCAGTCAAGGTTTAACTCTGCGTGGGGTCGCACTGTTACTCAGTTTGAACGTTAAATGGCAGCGGTATGCTGCTCAAGCCTCTCCCCGTCAGGGCGCACGTCCACCCCTCGCCTGCCCAGGGAAGACCCCCAGGAAGGAGAGGGGCCGGCGCCTGACGGCCCTCCCCAAACGGAGAAGGCAGGGTCAGAGACTTGAGCCAAAATGGCTGCGGCTCTCTCTCCATCTCTCACTCTCCATCTTGCAGAAGCCCAAGTCAATTTGGACGAAATGTACAGCTTGCATCATCTTGATGAGGCGGCTGCCACATTGATTGCTTGCGAGTGTGCATATGCTGTTGGCAGCCGGTGACAGAAAGGAAAGGCTCAGGCTGCAATGGGAATGCTCTGCCCCCCGCCTTTTTGTCTTTATGTCTGCTGCGCCGGTACTTCGGAAATGACACGAGGCTTGTGTTGAACACCTCAGGATGGCGGTGGGGATTGGTTAGAGGCGCATACGGCATGCGGAAGCTGAGCGACTTAGCAGTACCTGAAACCCCGAACTTCACCCCAAATGTGCAGCGCTTGCAGCTTTAATGGACCCAATATCGAAGTTCCTGCTGCGAGATTGACCTTGTCACACAGCCGAGTGCTGAAGTCTGTCGGCTCTGTCGGCATATTCCTGTACAGCTCAGAGCCACTCTGCAGCAAAGGAGTCACACTCAGTATGCCCGCCTTTTCCAACCGTCCCGAGCCGCAGACTGTTTTGTGGGCTTCAAAGACCAATAACCATTAAACGTGCACGCTGCAAAGTGGCCCAATTGTTGGAGCAACGTATGGAACATTGAGGTTGCAGAAGGTTCGGGTAGTGCTATGATGACCAAACGACAAAAGCCTACAAAGAGGGCTTGCTGGCTTCTCTTGGCCTCCAGAATGGCGGCTTACCAGCATCCATGCCCCCTCTTCGCTTCAGAGGGGGAATATCTGGGAACTCCTCCGCAGGCAGTTTCTGCGAAGTACCACTAGGAAAACCATTTCACCGATATCTTTGCAGATTTGACTGCCAAATGCTTGTTACCAAAAGGGCTGATATCATCAATACTACGCAGTGGGTAGTCTGAGAAGCGTCAGCAAGCCTCTGAGATCTGAAAAGACTGTGCATTCCTGAGGCGCCCGATCAAATGTCGGAACTTTGTCTGTCTCATGCTGGATGCAATGTGGAATGTCGCAGCTATATTCTGGCTTCACCTTTCTTACCTGAACGCACAATTCATACATACATGTTACACATATTTGCACACTCTGTTACGGGCCTCCCAATTCAACCATATCATAATTTTGCAGGACGCATGTACAGAATACACCAAACTCAACTTTGAAATCCACAAACCCCGCAAGGATACATTCAGTTGAGAGGTACAGTAATAAGAACGGCAGTTTGGCCAGATTGAGCGCCTCATCCTCCACAGTTTCGTTATCCATAACTTCTTGAAACTTGCGTCGAAGGACAAGCTTGGCTGAACTCGAGGCAAAACTGGCTGCGACCAAAATGCATGCAAGGACATCCATTCTTGCAGACTTTCTGTTCTGCCGGGGCCATCACTTCAGCCGCGTAACTCATTTCCATGCTCCAGCACTGTGGCTCAGAGATTCGGTGTCAGACTGACCGGAGATGAGCGTTACCGTCCACATGAACAGCAAAATCGAATCAACTTGAGAGGAGCCCATCCCAAGCAGACCCCGGCATGGCTGTAGCGTAGCAACCGCACCAAAAAAAATAACAGGCAGAGGAGCCGGGTCTCTTCCTAAGCACCACAGCTGCTTATTCAAGTCTTCCTTAATTTCCCAAGCTGCAGGCTGAATCCACCGGAACTCCGCCTGTGGACCTTCCGAAGCAGTTCACGACATGCTCATGGGGCTGCCTGAAAATGGACAACCAGGAAGAGATCAAAACAAGCTGCGCAACCAAAACCCGAGGCTGCACGAGTGAGCAACTTGGACCTGCCTTGCTGTAATGCTACTGCTGCTAAGCTGCTTCCCCATGAGACGAACAAGTATAACGCAAGCATATGTCCTTTCGCACTTTTCCTAGCCTTAACCGGCTCACCAGTACTTGAGAAAAATTAACCGTGCCCCTCGAGCACGATTCAGGGTTCAAGCCAGCTTAGTAGGCTCAGCCAATTGCACACCTGCTTTGCTTGGGGTTCAGGCCTACCTTAGATGATAAGGCTTGTCAGAAAACAGATGGAACTCGTAATGACACGAGCCGACATCGAATATGAAGTCGAGACTAACCTGTTTTGGATCAGCTCGGACTGACAAGTTGGGCCTGTTTGCCAATATTTTGCAAAAGCCAATCGTCCACGAGCTTCCGCCTCGTCCATCTGCGTGCGAAGCAACCGCAACTCAGCTGCCACCTGTCTTGTCTGCTTTCTTGGTATCAAATTGGAAACAAAGCTGGACAATGTCAATGTCCCATAAACACTTCCTGCGAATATCTCTGTTCGTCGCATCTGAGCCTCCGTCGAATCCAGCGGAAGGTCCTGGCGGGGCCTTGGTGTTCCACGCTGTGAGACCCTGCAAGCTCCAGTCTAAGTTGGAGTGTCAAGTCCCCTCACTGCCTGCAGTAAACATCCTCCTTATCCGAAATACTTGGACAGACACAAGACTCACCGGCTCATGAAAAATGCGTTGCCGTACAAGCTGCGTCTCGGAAGCTCGCAGCGGCGATGATGCAACTGCTGGCACAGCTGCGGCACACTATGGAGGCGTAAAATTGATGTGATGTCGCCAGTCTTAAGAAGCCAGCTGCTGGCTGAACGAGCATGAAGTGTGAGAGGTCAAGAGATCAGCACAGAACCCTTTCAAACAGTTTGCTGCGAAAGCAAGCCCCAGCGTTAGATGTGGGTTCCCCGTTGGTGCCTAGGCTTCGCAGGTGGACTGCCACCGGCTCTGACTCCAGCGGTGCCCTGACAGGGCATCGAGATGAAATGACCAAGGGCATCAGCACCTCACCGAACCCGCCTGGCCTTATTGCAGCCTTAGTCCTGCGCTTGATTTTAGATGAATACCAGCTCAAGACCTTACTTACCCACCTTCAGCAATTTCACGGGTAGGTGCTTTTCAAGGAAGCTCGCAACACAGAGGTTGTCTGGTAGACTGTGAAAATCTGTGAAAACGTTTGCAGCTGGCTCAATATTTTTGCTACTCCCATAGCTTTCAAGAGCGCCGTGTAATGCAATTGCTTCGAGCCAGAGCTGCTACCAGGCATTCCGAAATTCATCTTCCACCAACTGCCCAGAGCATCCTGCATCTTGGAGCATTTTCAGGTTGAAAGGTACCTAGCATCTACAAGATGATCCCAGCAATGCTGATTTCGATAGCCACACATACTGCGCAAGGTCGTGTGAACTGAACGCACAGAGTCCAGACGATACAAGGGCCCTATTGCGCCTTGGCTCCGGTCCCGCTGCTGCTTCCCAGGCACGGAGGCGGGACTCCAGCGCTTCCTGACAAGCTTGGAGTGTTGTTGGGGCAAGAGGTACTGAGAAGAACTCTTCAAGAATCATCACCCAAAATGCAACATCAGCTCATGGACCCTTGCCACATACGCAGCCCAAAGGCTCCAAACATCAATGGCCCGCGAATCAAAGGGCAAGCAAAGCATCAAGGAAGTCGGCATTGCTGTCAGGCTATCCCCCGAGTTTGAAGCGGGTTGGAGCCTCCAAGCGACCTTCCAAGACACGGAGTCGCTGCTGCTGCCGTTGGGAAGCCTGAAAGGCAGATGAGTGCACAAGGGAAACGTTACTATGGGCTCCAGGTGCCAGGATCTTGAGCAAAACCCAAACCTCCCATTTTCTCCAACATCTTAATTGGCCTCCTCGGCGGACGAAGCTGCCAACCTCCAGGCAGACAAGTCCGCAGCGTCTCTATCCCAGCCCTGAACTGCGGAGGCAAGTAATAAAGTCAAGCCCTTCACAGACAGCCTTAACACCAACTCCGAGACTTTCAAGAAGAGACGGCAAGAGGCTCCGCATGGCTCCTTCCCTCGTGCCTGAGCTCCAGGGCTGCGGCACGCTGCTCTCGCTCAAGGCGTGAGAGGCGCTCTTCCGGGGCCTCACCACAAACCGCAATAGAGAAAGAGAACAACACCAACCACACCATCCAAATCACACCACAACACCAACCTCTCACCACAACCTCTACGTCCTTCTGCTTCCACGCCTGCGCCTCTTTTTGCTGCCAAGGCTTCATCTGCTCCTCGTGCGCAGGGGTTTCTAGACCCCACCTTACTCCTCTGCAGATCGAAACATAGCTACAATTCTTTGCTCCATCTCGAAGGTTCACACACCCAAGTACCTTGCACACCTTACACTGCTTCACGATTCAAAGTCAATGGTCCATCTGATGCAGCCAACTAACTGGGTACTTATGTATTACACCCAGCAGAACCGCACAGACCTCTACACTTTGTTGCACCTCAGTCTTGCCACACCTCGGACCAAAAACCTGACGTAAGGCGAATTTCTTGGGCAACGTCTCTGTCTTGAGATACACCCACACCCCCAACCTCCAGCCGGTCCAAACGAATCAACACGGTGCGCTGCTCTTCTGTGAGCGCCTCAACCCCAAGTTTAGAGGTCATTGGGGCTAGGCCAAATCAGTCGGAGTGTTCCTGCAAGCTTCTGGTTTGAGCCCATTTTTCAAAATCATTGGGAAGCAGTGTACATTGGAAGCATCAGCGTTTCTTTACGCTTCATGAACATCATTTTCTCTGCACAAAACACGACAAGGCACATTTAATATTCTGGAAGCAACAACGGCTTGCTGCACCTGCGCAAGGCCCGCCAGCTCTGCAGCACGGCGATCTGAGCGAACGCCCTGGCCCTGGGCAGGTTCTGGATCAGCTGGCATGGCAGTGACGGCAACAACAAAAACAATATGCAGAATCGTTGCAAGATGGAAGAATAGGCCAAGGAAGAGCCCGCGAAACAGATTAGACTTGAAAAGCGCAAAATATGTCAATGCCAGGAAAAATGTGGTCCTGCAGGTACAAATTTGGTAAAAGCCAGAGAACGTTTTGTTGTTCTTTCGCAACTGCCAAGACAAATGCGCCGCAGGCATGGCTGCAACACACATCTTGCTGCCGAGGGCGAACGACAAAACAACATCGCTGTTGCGAATGTGCCCCTAGACCGGGCGGAGCCCATGGGGCGGAAGGTCACACGCACCTGTCCGGAAGCTTTTGACTAAAGTCAACCCAAGGACAGGGGGACACGTCAAGAACGCTTGAGTTTCTTGCGCCAAGCACACAGCATTTGCAGGACGCTACATTGTTGCGCTTGCCAAAACCATCGTGCAGCAGCCACTGCAAAAAGAACACATTTTCTGCTGCCAGCATTGAAGCAACATTCTTGTTGCAAATTCACAACCTGGGAAGGGGGAAACCTCATAGGCGCGGGCTTTGACAAAAGCCACCCGGCCCCAAGCAAACGAAGCCTGCGGCCCAGTTTTCCATTGGCGCACGGTTTAAACCCTTTTGGTGGTGAAACGGCTGGAGATCATGCCATGCCTCTGTGGAAAAGTGCTTCCGATGGCCTTGCTGAGCAGACGCACACGTTCGCCATCTATACACTAACAAGAAATGCTCTCATCCAGGTAGTCCAGCTGGTGGTCGAGACTGACAAAAAATGTTGCTTTCTTCACAAGGGGCGTGGTATGGTGTGGTTCAATGCAGCGAATACACCACTACGCCAGGCCCCAAATCAGCCGTAAGCCTCAACATGCACAAATGGTGTTGTCCCACACACTGCCATGCCGCCGAGGCTCTGGTTGAACGCGACGGCCACAGTCCCGGGAGTCCCGAATTGACAAGGACGTAGCCACCAGAAATGGACTTGGAACTGGCATGGTCCAGCATGGAAAATACCTGGACTTTGGCCCACTTGACCAAGCTCAGTCTCCTACAGGGCTGGGCTGAGAACGTGCGAGTAGAAAGGGAGAGACCGGAACGGCGAGCCAAGGGCGATCAACGCCAACGCCGCGTGGTGTTAGCGTACTTGGGCAATTGGTAGGGCGGTATGCCCACTGCTCCATGAGAACAAACCAGACACAACCAGACAGACAAGCACCAAAGTGTGCACGGGAACGGACATGAGGTTTAAGGCAATAATGACGCAATGACCAGTTCACATCAAAATCGATTGAAAATAGTTTCTGGCGCCAAGGACACAGCATTTGCAGAACTCTATGTTGTTCCTAACCAGCAGAAAAGCATCACAACAGAAAATGGCACAGGCCTCCAATGCCCGCACACGCGCTTCGAGGCGAGCCAGCGAGCTACGCAGAAGCACCTGTGTTTGCCACTGCCCTCACATTCACTTGGAAAACCAGAGCGTGCAAGCAGTTGTGAGAAACGCGGGCAACAAGCAATGCAAACAACTGAAAGAGGTCTCTGTTACTGCGTTCTGCGGGCCGGATAACAACAGATCAAAAGGAAAATGATCTTCCAATCTTGAGGAACTAATATGAAGACAGTCTTACATTCGAGAACCGAAGAACTGCCCTGGGCCTCCAAGCCGGGATCTGTCGAACTGGCATGGCAGCAAAGCAGCAAAGCAAGGATTGTTTCTTTAAGCTCTTCCAAGCTCTGGCATGTCAGCCACAAGCAGAAACCTGCTCGGTTCGACCGCACAAACTACGTAGAAACATCCAGAAACCAGTAACCTGTTTGCACAGACAAACGAACGCAAAAAGGAGCGCCCTGAACTCACAGCCTCAGAAGTGAGGGAGCCATGGGCTTTCGGAGACCGCCTCCTGTAGCGGTGCTCCAATGAGAAAGCAAAAGTATGGCCCCAAAAGACTTCCCACTACCAGCATAGAAACGTCGCCAAGGCAGGCTTCACGAAAGAGGACGAACATCAGAAACATGCTGGCGCTGCCTTTTGAAGCACAGGGCATCACAGGGATTCTGGATCAGGAGCTTCGTTTGAGGAAATCCCTACACTCCGCGGTTTAACTGCGCAAGGTTGGTGCAACTCGCGGTTAAGAAAGGCACCTTCCCGCTGCGAGGCCACCAGAGCTCCAAGGGCACTGGGAGCGTCGGCGGCAAAGCTGGAGGCCTCCCAGGTCTTAGCTGACACTGAGGATTGAAGCACCGAACAACGATCACAAGCATCCGCTTCTTGCCAATATCTGACATCAATGCTGTAAAGCTCGAGCCAGTTCAAGCTCTTGCACTGCAACTTGGTGCAACTGGGTGCCGCATGCCCTCCCGGGGTTTGCAACAAATGTTTGCTCTAACTGACCCAACATGTCGCAAGTCACCATTAACACACGGTGAGATCCAGAGGAAAAGCTCTAAAGAACACAAAAGTCTTGCAATGGCTGGCACGCCTCACTTATGATCTGCGCCTCCTCCGACCGAAGCGAGTTTGTCATCACAAACGCCCACGCTGGATTAGTTCGAGCTTCCAGCTTTGCAATACAGTTGTTTTTGAGGGCCTGCTCAAGTTGCTATGTATTTTGTACTCATGGGCGTAAAAAGCGGGGGGGCAACAGTGATTCGGGACTTGAGTTCACCGTGTACACATTCTGTTTAATGTCAAGGTACTCTGAGATAATCAGAGATACCAAACTGGCTGGCAGACATCAGTTTCTGTACGTTGAAATGTCAGCTTGCTGGCTTCTCACATTGAGCTCATTGAGCTTAGTCCCCTCCAAGCTTCATGTCAGCTCAAGCTTGCTGGAATTGTTCACTTTGAACAGCTCGACATGCCCATGCATTGCCATGCACAGCCTCTGTGATCCTTGTGAGCAGCTATTAGAACTATCAATGAACACTTCGGCTTTTACCACATTTTGACCTCGCCTGCATCCCGAGCTCTACCAAGGCTACAGTACTAACAACGACTTCGCAGTTGCTCTTTGGCAAACCCAATGTGACATCTGAGTTACCAAAACCTCACTGACCAATTGGCCCCGGACACCTCGTTTGAGTTCTGTCAACTGCACAAAACTTTCTGCACCCAGACAGCAGCGCAACAAATAGCCCTCAAGGAATCCTTGTTTGCAACCTCCTGTCTCGCAGACAAGATTGTCTCGAAAGCAGCTCCACTACAGATGGCCAAATTCCAATGTGCCCAAGCGTCAACACTGAAAACAAGCCACAATGCAGGATTTGGACCGGATGATCATTTGTTCATGCATGAAAGGCAAGCAGGCCCTGACCTGCTTCACATCCTCAAAGAAAAGCCGAACAAATGAAATGAAAATCTAGCCTACACAATACAAACACGCCCCTCACCCAGCATGATTTTTTCTAACCAGACAGCGTCTGTACCTATACTGTGAGAAATGATGGACATTCCTGTTGTGGGCCGAAGAGCAAAGCACATCTGCATCTGTGTCCCAGAAGCCCTGGTGCAGGATCAAAGCAATGGTTGCAGGTAAACAAAGAATGGGAACACCCGTCCCGCGAGGACTCTTCCACCGCAGGTGCATCTCCGTTTAGGGTCTGCTCTCTGCACAGTCGCAAATGCTGCCTGCATTTTGCTCTAGGTGCTTATTTTCGGATCACTGAACATGGTCTCCTGAATTTGGAAATCTTGCTTGCCAGATCAAACTGGTCTCGGCAGCTTTTGCTCGGAGAGGCATTTGGTGGCTGCACTCGTCTGCTTCTTCAGGCAGATCCATATAAGAAGGCATTATGCCCCAAAAGCATGCTGACAACCGCGGTGGCATGTTTGGGCTTGTGACACTGCCGATTAGCTGTGAATGTGCTAGCAAGAGATGCTTCCAACATGCCAATACTGTGGATGGGACCGTCGATCATCGTCGTGCTGCAAGCTGAGAATGGAGTGCCCACTTTGGAACAGATCAATCTCCCAGCTATTTGAAAGGCAAGCAAAGCTTCTGGATAACTCCTCAGACCTCGTTGTCACTATCAGATTGGACGCAGATTTCACCCTGCCAAGGCAATCTACATGGGTGTGAGCACATGCACCGAAATAGCTCAAGGATTCTCTTTCGTCGAGTGGAGGTTCAGAACAGTTCTTTCATACAGTTTAGATTCTTGAGATCTGCATCTGCATCTCAAAAAAATCCAACAGCACAACTTGCCAAGAGCAGCCCAATATTTCTTGGTTGGGAGGGGTCTTGGTCGCACCAAGACTAGAACCTTCCGCAAATGCAACCTCCACAAGTGCACATATTGTGAAGCAGACAAGGCTATTAGTTTCTCGGACCAAAACGAGCTGATGTCAGTGTACGTATCACAACTCGTACCTAATCCAACACTGTCCTCTGTAGTGCCATAACTTTTGAAACGTTGTTTACCCAACCTTCTCGTCGAGGTATGTGTAGAGCTCGCGGCCCCAGTAGCAGCTGGTGCACTGAAGGCACATGACGCAGCAGCTCATGCCCATGGCCTTGGAGTCAATAACAAAGCTGAAGCAATTGCCCAAGGGCAAGCATTCGTCATGCTGGTTTGAACTGTTGTGACAAACAGTTCAACACTCACCACTTATTCTGTCATTAGCCGCTATTGAATGATCTTTCTTCCCCGCATCACAACAGATCAGAAGCATAACTATGCTTTACCATTGTCATCCCTACCATGTTTGGTTGGTTTGGTCTGCAGCTTTGAAGGCCGAATTGCATGAATTCAAGACAGGGGTCCTGAGAACCGGCCAAAGGGTGCATGTGTGCACTACAAAGGAACATGATCCTGGCAAACGCCCTACTACTCAACTGAACCAGCCTCACGGCAGCAAACTGGTTGTCCGCCTGCTTGAGCCAATTCAAGAACCCAGGTCTTTGAGATTTTTTTGTCCGAAACACTTGGTAACCAGCGTGCGCACAGAATGTCAGGGGCCCCTGCGATGCCAAGGACTGCGTAGGCAGCTGGCACATGCTCCACCCTGAGCTGCTAGGGAGATGCATTCTGGGGCCTATGCTTGGTAAGCAGCACTGCACTTGCAAGGTCGCATGTGCACGCTTTGCATGGAAATTTTGGGCTGTTTGGGCGTAGGTGTAGGGACATGAAGTGCTGCTTCTGTACAGTGAATTCATGGCGTCGTGAAGTCGTGATGGCTCAAAACTAGTGTGCTTGGACATATAGAGTCCACGATGTGCTGCGCCTGCCAGCACTTGGAGGACGTGGCTACGGGACCTTCGGAAACCAAAAAAGCTGAAGCGGAACTTTTCCTGCAAATTGCCCCAGAGTCATCATGTTTACCTCCTCTGGCAGATTGTATCTCCAGAAGAACGAGTGCACGAAGTCCATGAGGATTCACGGTGTCGTGTAACTCGTAGTGGCTCAAAAGGAATGGGTTCTTACCCATCTAGTCCACGATGTACTACGCCTGCTAGCATTTGGAGGACGTGGCTGCTACGGGGCCTTTGAGAAGAAACGAGACAATGAGCATGGCTTGAACATGTTTGCTATTATCCCCCATCCGCCCCCCCCCCCGACTCTGCATGGCAGCAGATGACAAAACACAGCAGAGACCTATGAAAAAAAACATGCAAACTATGTACAATGTGCGCGCTTCCACCTACAACTACCCAATTTCTGTATAACCGAAGCTCGGCCACCAGGTCAGCTCATGAAAACGCCTGTTGAGGTGGCAAACAGCAACAGACAGCAGGAATCTGAAGCTGGAATTTTCGCGAGCTGTCAACGCCTGCACACCTGCAGAAATCCCTTCATGCTTCAGTCGCAGGTTGCTCCGTCATGGCTAACGCTGCGGCCAAAACTGGAGGCTCGGGTTTGGGGCGTACAGGTCCGTATTCGACAGTGGGGTAAGGCCTGCACGACGCATATGCATGGCGAGCCGGCACCCCCTTCAAACCGCAGCTTTACCACATCTTTTATCTTGCAAGCGGGTAGCATGTGGTCGTAGCAGCCCTCGTAAGTTTTCAGGTCAAAGTGACTGCTTTCCATGTGCGCCTCGAAAGGGATCAGGAGAGCAGAATCCAAGGCAAAGAAAACCGGATCAATCCAGCCGTGGCACGCAGGCTTTCATGATCCCAGGGCATTCTTGCTGTTCCGCTGCCTCAACCAAAGGTCAAAGAGGGCAAGCAGACATTCGCAGTGAAGTGTATGACCAAACGCAGACTCTGGCAACAACATCTCAGTTCACAACCTCAGAAGCATGATAAAATCAAGCCTCCGGAGTCCACGGGATTAACAACGTTAGTCAAACTGCCTGAGACGAAAGGAGACATGATAGCAAATAATGTCAAAACAAGATATCTATATACGAACTGAAGATGACACCAAGCGATGAGAGGAAGCAGCAACAGGAGCAGGTTGGGAAGGATTATGATGCTTACAGTACAATGGAGGTGGATGCGTTGCATGATATTCACGAAGATCCTGAAAAGAACATGTAGGGCCGCAACGAGCGCGACAAGCTCAGAAAAGGAATGCATGAGAAGAAGACCATGAAAAAGATCGCACATCCGTAACAGTAGCCGTGTGTCCATGACGCCGGGCTTCGGCTTGCAGACCGTCTCAACGCCTGACAGAGAACTGGCAGCTACCCGGCAACTGGAGATGAAGGGCTTTTGAAGCACTTCAGGTTATAAAGGAATATCTCTTTACGGACATCTTCATGTCAGAAACAATCATCACAAGTGCAGGAAATGAAGTATCATGTCAGCTCAATCTTGCAAAGGCGACCTGTAACAAAGCCACGGAACTTCAATGAGTTCAGCAAGAATTGAGATGTGATCTTCCGCGGCATAAGCTTCTTTAGTTGAATCTAAGTGGAGCAAATCAAGATGAAGCCTGCGGTGGCGACCATGCCGAGCAGAAGCGCGATGCAAGAAAGTATCTGCATGGGCAGGGAATCCAGGAGTGCTTGAGAATCGCTCACTTTCTGAGGTAAAGACATAGGTGTTTGGATGAGATGCAGGCAGCCGGGGCTGCGGGGGCCGGGGGCTCGGTCTTGACTGCACTTCTCGCCCATGCCCTTTGCTAGAATGTAGTGCCACAGGCCGACTTAGCAGACTTGTCAGATGTGGCAGGCAGAAGTCCTGCCTGAACACAGCCGCCGACACAGTTGCACCACGCGAAGCAGCAAACACACGAACGGTTGTTGTGCTTGGCCCCTGCGCGGATGGGCAACAAGATGGGTATGATCCGAATTTGTCAATGGCACTGCACTGACAGGCTTGTCTATCTGCACCAGGGCTGAGATCAACAAAGGCTTCCTGTTGCTCGCACGGAAGCATCAAAATGAAGTCAAGCCAAGGCACCGCAGTATCCAAGGCACGGGATGGTCAAGCTGATCCTCAGATGATTTCGCAGGTGTACTGATTGAGGGTTCAGGGCACAAAGGTTCATCGTGATGGATTTACAAATTCGGGCTTTGCTACACGGTTTAACTCTCAGCTTCAGATATGTTGGAAACGACTACATCTGTTTGCAACAATTGACAACTGCACTGCTGAATATCCGGGAATATCCTGCACTCCTCAGTTGACCTGCTATCGAT